TTTGTGTGTGTGTGTGTGTGTGTGTGTGTGTGTGTGTGTGTGTGTGTGTGTGTGTGTGTGTGTGTGTGTGTGTGTGTGTGTGTGTGTGTGTGATCTGTCTTTTTTATATGGAGGCCTAGAACCGTAGAAAATCAGCACTATCATTATACTACTGAGCTGCCCGACAGCACTGCAATTATCCTGAGCACCACACACACATATCATCCAGACAGTCTACAGGCCAGGCAGGTGTCTCAATACATCTATTTTTCCAAGCTAAATGCTGCTAGTAGGCCTTTTTAAATATTTCTTTCAAAAAATGTTAATATTTATTAACGTGGATTTTTGTTGCGTCTTCTGGGAATTTGTTACAAGTTTTTTTGTAATCAGTAAATTAAACCTTGAATTATATAAATGAAATGTATAAAGTCTTCAGAAAACCTTTTTTGAATGGACCTAGTTTTAATATAATCACTCTTTCAGAATCATTTTATAATCTGAAAGGATTTTTTGAAGACAGTGTCTCAGTTATTTTAGATATGCACAAAATGTATACCTGCATTCTCTAATAGAATAATTCATTGTAAAGCAAAGAAAAATCCAAAATGTGCAATATTTTTCTCCCTTGAATTCAAAAATCTTTCTCTGAATGTATGTCATGTATAAAACTGTATTCTTAGCCCAGATATGATATTGTTTCTGCCCTTGATCCGGCTGAACTCCTGAATCCCATGTGGTCAGACGCCTACCTGCTACGGCCTCACCGCCCTCCTTACACCTGCTCTGGAGGACTAACTGTCGTCCTCTTACCCTCGTATCTGCTCCATCTGCTCCTCCTTTCTCCTAACCCATTTGCTATCCTTGTCTCTCCATTTTCACCCCCCGTCTCTTCTGTTTTTTCGTGTGTGTGTGTGTGTGTGTGTGTGTGTGTGTGTGTGTGTGTGTGTGTGTGTGTGTGTGTGTGTGTGTGTGAACAGCTATGGTAGTGCTGCTATTGAGGGTCGTCGTGCGCATGTACATTAAGACCCCAGCTGTGATCATACACACTCGAACACACAACCAGGAAATGGTCAAAAGAACATTTTCTGTGTTTTTCTGCCTTTATCTGGTTTTTGTTATGTTTGTGTATCCCTGTAATTACACTGTTCCCCATTTCTTAAAAAACAAATGTACTAGGAAACGTACCACACACACACACACACACACACACACTCAAAAGCCCTTACACCACCTTGAGTCTTAACGGTAACAGTGGTTAATATATTCATAGTTGGTTGTTTAGTGGGGATTTATCCTAAAACCTCTCATTGTCGTCGCCTTTGTGGCTTCCTGTCAGTCGGGCGGAGTGAGGCTCAATCTATTGTTGAGACAAGGTCACTCTGATTGTTCAGGAGGTCAGACTCATAGAACATTCAAGCTTTATTGATAGTCAAGCTCAAGCCAGAAGCAGTGCATTTAACAAAGAAAATTATTATTATATATATCTTTGCGTTTTCTGATCATTTTATTAGTCCCGCATTGAGAAATTAAATGTTCTATTCAAAGAAGATATAAGTGCATTTTGACAAGCAGATGCTTAATATTCTTTTGAGCTGCAGATAGGTTTTTTTTACTCGTAATTTTTTCAATTTACACACACAAAATCATTAATTGTATTTCTTTGTAGCCAAGGTGAACGACGCCGCTCTTGGCCGTTGACATCAGTCGACCCTCCCCCCATTTCCAGTGTCCTCTCCTTTCCCCCCCAACATACACATACACTCATAAATATACATGCACCCAGACACACACACACACACTCATATACACCGCCTCGTCCCGCCTGGTGCTTCTGTCGCGTCACATCGACCAGGAGGCTGGAACCCTGCACCTTGACCTTTAACCCCTGACCTGTGACCTCTGTTGTCTGACTGTGTATGGGCTTTGTGTCTGTGTGTGTGTTTTGTAGGGGACGTGAAGCAGCTGCTGGTCTGGATCCAACAGAACCTGCTGAAGGAACGGCCCGAGCTCTTTGTCCAGGGAGACTCCGTGTGAGTGTGAGCGTGCACTTGACATACACTTGGAGCTGTGTACAACAATATGTCCTGAAAGACCACTGGAAATCAAACCCTAACTGCCAAATATGACTGTAATATGTGATCAAAATACCTTCATAAGAACGGTTGAAAACGAACCTGCAGTATTGTGCGTGAAGCCGCTTTCTGAAGCATTTTCCCTGCAGTTCAAATCTGCTGAAATGCTGGAGAAAAAAAAATCCGTCTAGCCTTCAGGTTATGGGTTGCAGTAAGGTGTGTGTGTGTGTGTGTGTGTGTGTGTGTGTGTGTGTGTGTGTGTGTGTGTGTGTGTGTGTGTGTGTGTGTGTGTGTGTGTGTGTGTGTGTGTGTGTGTGTGTGTGTGTGTGTGTGTGTGTGTGTGTGTGTGTGTGTGTGTGTGTGTGTGTGTGTGTGTGTGTGTGTGTGTGTGTGTGTGTGTGTGTGTGTGTGTGTGCGCGCGCGTCACACAGCATCGTTATAGGACTGGCTGACTTTTACAGCTGCCTTTGTGCAGGACTATTTATAGCTCCACCTAACCAATGAATAGAGGAAAAAGCTGGCCTACCTATAAACCTTATAGATTAGATGTGTGTGTGTTCTTTCTGTTGGCAGCACACAGGTTTTTAAAGCTAACCATCATTAAGGTGTTTCTTCATTATCTAAAAGGAAATCTATTGGTGCTGTGTGTGATGGGTTGACCATCTTTACCTTTTTGATTATAATGTTGTTCCTTTTCAAAGCTGTTTCTCTGTGTGTGTGCATGTCACTGGTGTGGACGTATGTTTGCTCTCTCACATGGCCCTTTTTGCATTGACGTCATAGAGCATCTACAAGGTGCAGAGGAGCTTATTTGACCTGCTTGAGGCATTATCCTCCCATCGACATGACCTAAACCGCTTCCTCTGCGGCTTTCAGAAATAAAATGCACCAGCGTATGTTAAAAAGACTGCACCCATAGGTGCTTAATGTTACCCTCGTCCTTTGCCCTTATTATCCCACTTTGAAGGGTGGGGATTTTTTTAGGGTTTATATGCATGTTATTTTTGGGTGCTCATTAATTTTCAGTGATAGTTTGTTTTCCCCTATCATCACTGTCCTCCGTGACTTACTGTATGTGCCTTTTACTTCAAATATGTATTATATATTTTTTGATTTTGATAACCAGAAAAAAATGTGGAGTTTGTGATTGCTAGTACAAATGCAAAATGCATATCAGCAGTCTATAATTGCATATTGACTGTAACATGGACATAGCACACATGCAGTCACATATACTGTTAGATCTACTGTCATATATATATATATATATATATAGACCAGTGTGTGTTCTCAAACATAACACTGGTGTTATATTCATTTCAAATAATATTACAAAAACACCAGATCTAATTTCCAATCAATCATCATGCTTGCAAATAAATAACCTATTTTTCCTAATCCACCATTTCAAAAAATGTCATTTGTATAAATGAAATTAGTAATGCTTTTAAATTGTTTTATTCTACCAGCTTACATTTAGAGAATGCGAGAAAAATGATATTCCTCTTTAGTGAAATGTTTATATTTTATGTGGCACTTTTATTTAAACTAATTTAATAATATTTCAATTGAACGTTGGTACTTTTGTGTTGATTTTTGTATCGTCTTTTTTTAAAGCAGGACGCAGACACTTATTTTAGTTTGTTTACATCTGCCAAGACATTCCTGCTCTAACTGTCTGTATCTTTTACACACGTGTGTTTGCATCTGCATTACCTTTGGGAAATAAGTCTGACTCAAAACGGTTTGTTTTCCCACAGGAGACCTGGGATTCTGGTGCTTATCAATGATGCAGACTGGGAGCTAATGGTGTGTGTGTGTGTGTGTGTGTGTGTGTGTGTGTGTGTGTGTGTGTGTGTGTGAGCTTTATTTGTAGCTCTTTTAAACCTTGTATGCCTGTTTTCAGGATGTACTATTACATCGAGAAATTGTTTGAAACCACACAGCTGTTTTTGTGTCTTCATGCATAGATCCCTCTAGCTATATCACATTTCATTCAGCAGTGTGGATGTGAATGTTAGCCCGTATGCTCACTGATACCAAGATTGCTCGTTTTCTCAGTCAGTTAATGTTTCATATAACGTGAAAAAGCAGCTGCAAGAGAAGTTTGTCCTTGGGGTCTCATATGTGAGCTCATATTTACATGCACACACAGTATGAGTGCTTCAATTTCAATCCATTGATTAAATTACAGGACGCAACACAGGATGTAAATGAAATGAAAAGTTTGTCATTGATTGGACCCCGATGGGAACACAGGAGCAATACACATATTTGTATTAGTAAAGACAGAGATCTCTCCTTTGACTCGCAGATATGTTTGAATATTTGTGTGTTTTCTAAACCTCAGGGGGAGCTGGAATACCAACTACAAGACCAAGACAACGTTGTGTTTATTTCTACTCTTCATGGAGGGTAGAGGAATACAAACATCCCTAACATCCCTGTAACAGCCTTTTCTCCAGTTCCTCTGCACCCCCCGCCCCACATCTCAATAACACGCCAGCCCATTGGACGCTGGGGATGTGTCGGTCTGCCTGCACCCTGAGGTCTGACCATGATGGATGTTCGTCGCAGGAATGAGTGGAAATTCAAAGATGGTCACTGAGAAAAATGTCGAAAACTGTGACATGGGCCTTCTGTTGACATTTTAATTTTAAATTGGATAGGTGTAAAGGGAAGTCACCTGAAGCTCTGGTTACCTGGCCTACTATTGGTGCGAGTGTGAATACCGACAGCTGAAGTGTAAACCTTCATCTACCTACATCCTCTCTTACAGTGTGACCGTGACTGATATAAAGACCTCATCTTCCATGACCAAGTCTATGACAAAATAAAGCGCTTTGTTTTAACCCCCACTAATAAGCATTTGTTAGCAGTATATAAAGTGTGTGGTACTGTAAGCCGATATAAGGACATCTTATGTGGTAAATAATGTATTCATCAACTATCATGTCTTATCCTATAAAGACATATTTATCAGTTTTTTACTAAAGATTACAGGTAATGACAAATAAAGAACAAAAATATCCTTTTATCTGCTTACAGGCACAATAGTGTGTATGTAATGGTTATATAATGCGTAGAATAAAGCTGTCAAAAGAAAGTAGTTTTTTTCAGTCCAATTTTGATTTGAGAAAAATAAATGTTTCTTCTAACTGCTTTTTACATTTTGCTCACAAAATGGAAACAATTATTAAAAGTGTTCTGTTTTTCAAAACAGTCTTGTCTGCTTTTTTACCACAATATCTGTACTGAGTTTTTCTTTTTCTAAAATGTTGAACAATTTACATGTACTTAATTTTGCCTTAATTCCTGACAGGGGTCAACATATGTGTGCGAGTGTGTGTTCACACACACATATATACTATATATATATAGTAAAGTTATAAACACAGCTGTGACGAATTAAATAAAAGTAAAGTAACTAATTAAATGTATATTCAATTGCATTTTTATGTACTTTACACTTTCATTTATTAAGTATGTATTAAGTATGTAAATGAGTATTTAAATGACCCTGTTTGGCGTTCTTCTCCGCTATGTTAAATGTTTACTCCCCAGATAGTGCTTCTGCACTTTACAAACTGCAGCATCTCTTTGGACTTTATCACTATTAAGTGCAATTTTGTCTGAAAGCCCCCTGCAGCGCACACAGGCGCTGATAGCCAAACACGTTTCTCAATTAGGATTGTACATCACGCTTCGATAATTTCTGGTGATAGCTTATATCTGATCGATTTAAGCCTAGCTCTGTGATCACACTGCAGTTTTAGGCTGATTAGACCAGACTTTGGGGACATTTCACCGTCCTGTAGCCCCACTCAGCTACAATATGCATACAAAGTGGGGGGTGTAGCGTGTGTTTGAGTGTGTGTGTGTGTGGGGTGTGAACTACAGGACCACTGCGGGAGGTCGAGGTCTTGCCTCCGGGCTGCCCTCCCCTGAACGCCCGGGGCGACCTTAAACCTTTTCTCGGTTGTGGAGTCCGATTTGCAACGGGAAAACGGACGAGAATGGCTGCTAGAAAGGAAATGCTAATGAGGCAGGGGGTTACAGAGAGGAGAGAGAGGGGCTTCTGTGTCAGCTGGTGCAGGCCTAGGACACTGAGCTACTGAGAGTGTTTCACACAGAGAGGATCAAAGACATGGTTCTGCATGGGCTCCATGCCTCCTATAGGCCTCCATTTGACATTTCTGGAGCAACTTTCAAAAAAGCTTTAGATTATGATCTTTAAAAAAAATGCTTGTAGCCTATTGTGTCTATTAGATCCTGTAGATTATTCTTACCTGAGGCACTTTTTTTTCCTTAATTCGTGTCTGTACCCACATTCCCTCTTTGTTTCCATTGCAATTTTCACAATTGATGCAGGGTTGGACTATTGTCTGGGCCTGTACAGTATACAGATAGTTCCCCATCCTGCACAGCACATGAGGAGACGTGGTGAGTGGATGTATAATAACGACTCATGTTGGGGGGAATACAATAAAACAATAAAACAATCGCATGTGATCTCCAGCCTGTCATTAACAGCCATTCAGTAAACTCTAGTAATAAAAACAAACTACTAGATTATGTTTTAACATAAAAGCATTGATTTTGTTTTTTATTTTAAACCTGTCACAGGAAGAACCTTTCGTTGATGTTTTTTTATGTAAGGAAAGAAGGAGGAAATGCATCACTGCACTAAAGAAAACGTATAGTAGCCCTTAGTATTTTCGATTATGTTTGCCAAAATAACCTTTTTTTTCCCTATTGCACTCAATTATACACTAACTATGCAACAAAAACATAGTAGTTAGAGATTCATTCTCTCTAAGCTTATTATGTCCGAATAAGTCTTAAGTATTTCATAAAAATGTAATTGTTAATACGTATTTTTTATTCTATTTTCATAAAAGGCTGAGCTTTATTACACTAAAGCTGGTGATTATTAATTTTAAAAAAAACGTAGTCCTTTATTTCTGAGAAAAATGCTCCTGATGTGTTAGCACGCAGAAAAAACACGTTCAAGTATCCTTGCATTTGTGCTTCACATTTTAAAATAGTTCAAATGCGTTTGTAAGTTAGAGGCTATTGATGTTTTATTAAATAAATAAAGACAAACAGTTGCAGAGTCCATTTCACACAGAGGCATTTTCTGCAAGAGCAAACAGCACTGATCCCTGGAATTAAGAAAGGTTAGCCTTTAATGTGCAACAACAACACACGTTTTCTGCGTGTCTGCTGCTGTTTTCAATTCAACGTTGAAGCTAAACATTTATGTTATTTTTAAACATTATTTTAAATCATAAAATGCATTTTTGAATTCAAATATTTTTACACTAACCGTTAAAAAACGTCAAACGTTTCAATTAGGCCTATTTGATTCATTTTGGTTGAAATGTTTAATTGTCTCTTTAAAAAGAAGAATAATTGGATACAATTTTAGGCAGTAAATCCGTTAAATTAAGAAGAAAATAAAACGATAAAAACCCAAATGGACCAAAAAGTGCCCCAAGTGATTTTTCAGTGACGCTGTTTGGCTCCAGAGATTTGGCAGCATCAGTCATCAGGCCTCTGTGTGTTCTCTGTTTTTACAGCCCTTTAACATATTAATATGTAGTAATTCTGCCTTAAAAGCACTTGGGAAAATTGTGTTTTGAGTGATATATCTGTGGTTAAGTGCCTTTATGCAGGATGCACTTTAGGATTTGCCTTAATTGGCTTTAAATATGCTCTTTAGTAATACATTATATGAAATGATCTAAGAAGCTATTTTTACAACCAAATGTAGCTTGTAACGAATTTATTTTCTAAATTCTATTTAATCTGCCTTGTTCATTTGTATTTATTCTCCTCGTTTGTGCACACATGCATATTAAGGTCCAGTTTTGTAGCTTTGCTCATCTCACGTGCATCCGGTGCTGCATGCAGGCCTCACTCTGGGAGCACTCAACTCACTGCTTTCTACTATTTGCCAAACACAGTCGATACATCAATGCTTTTAGTCGATATTTGCCATTTAAAACAAACAGTCTTGATTAGATCTTCGACAAAGTGTAAATACCAATCGGGCCAACCACAACGCGCACCTCGAAAAACACATTACACGAGGCAGAATAAGGTTTGCTCCACTTTATTGGCCCAGTCCCGCGTCTTTCTCCTCCATAACATGCCAAATATGCTCTGTATCTTACCTGAAATGAGACAGTTACAAAACAAACCGAGACTAAATGCCTTTCAGTCGCCTCCTTTGTGGTTTGGAGGCCTACATTCTTGATGAGGCGTTTGGCCAAAAGGCAGCAGTGATGAATGTGAGTCTGCAGCAACAGATGTCCATACACAATTCTTGGGGTTGAATTTGAGTTTACTCAAGAATTGCGTTTGGACAATCAGTCGCTAAAGACTCTGTATGTCCTCTGCCAACATTAAAAAGAGGAAATTAAGCATGTGGTTATTTAAATAGCTAGTGTTCAGGAGCAGTTATTGTATAGGCCTCGTGGCTGCACCTGCTACGACTTCCTAAATGCCCTTTGACAGTGTTGGCTGCGTCTGACACTGCAAACAGTTTACTTTCCCTTTTTACAGGATAGAGAGTTGCAGTACTGTGCATTATTTTTGACATTCTCTTTGCTCAGCATTGCCTCGAATTCGGTTCCCCTGTTGCAGCAGAAAACTAAACATCAAGATTATTTTTTTGATTAAAAACATGGAAATATAGTCTAGTGCAACCTACAAAAGTACACCCCAAATGCTATACTGCTGGACTGATTATAAAAAGATATAATTTGTTCAATTGTTTAATAATGCTAAAGAATCATTACTGCACCCACAACCACTTTGTGAAAGTCTCTAATGCTGTTCAAAAGCATCACTATTCCTACGTTTTCTTAAAGCTGCCTTAATATCTTATTTACACTGGTTGCTAGTTTAAAAGTTAACCCCAAGTCTCTTCAGATCTCTGGGCCATTTTTAAGATGGCTGAATGACCATGGCATCTTAAAGTAAAATGTCATCTCCATTGCTCAAGTGGACTTGCACCTGTGTACTGTCATCGATTTAAAGGAAACACTGTTCAGTTCTGGTGCTTTAGGATGCACAATGGTTTTCCACGAAAAAAAAATCCCCTCCTATTTGAAGAAAGGAACTTCGATTATCTTTCCTGTGGTGATGAAAACGTAATTTTAAAAAATAGGAAGCCCCTTTAGTTCCCGGTGGTGCGTCCTTGGTTCAGTTCCCACGACGTGCGTTCTCTCGGGTCCGCCTCGTCGAAATGCCCCCCAGCGAGCACCGGAGGATGCGGGGGCTGAGGAGCCGGAGAGCAGTGGGCTTCGTGCGTTCATTCCCGGACAGACGCTGCTGCCTTCCTCCCATCCTCCCTGTACGGGTCTCTCGGACTGACTGGATGGATGTGTCTCTGCCCTCCTGGCTCTCTCTTAACGCTGCTCCAACAATAACGCTGCGGCCGCGACGCAAGGCGGAGAGAGGAGTGGAGAAGGTCCTCGCTTGGTACTGAATTTGAATAACACCACGGGGTGATAAATGTCCATTGTACTGCTTAAGTAATGAATCTCCGCTGTCCTCTATCACACACACACACACACATCCACCCACACACACACACACACACACACACACACACACACACACACACACACACACACACACACACACACACACACACACACACACACACACACACACACACGCACACACGCACACACGCACACACACACGCCAGCAGCTGCGATGAGGGACCAGCAGCCCCTCTTAAAGAAACAACAGCCCTATTTTCTACCCAAAAAGAGATTACAATCCCGACACTGTTTAGGCCTACTCTCTGACCGCACTGCATGACGTTTGGTGTTTGTCTTGTGCCCCCCTCTCTTGTGTGAGCAAACTAGTGCAACGCCGTAACCAGGCACTTGGACATAAAGCGGTGCCTTCAGCGCCATGTGCAGCCATTCTGCTGCAGAAAGGGCTGCCTACTGTAGGCCTGTGTGGCAAAGGGTGGTCCGGAGTGGCAGAAAAT